GGTACAGGGAGAGGGACCCCTGGGCTTGGCTGGGTCGGGGGGGTACAGGGAGAGGGACCCCTGGGGTTGGCTGGGGCGGGGGGGTACAGGGAGAGGGACCCCTGGGGTTGGCTGGGGTGGGGGGGGCAGGAGAGAGATCAGGGGAGAAATCAGGAAGAGTTATTTCTTGTCCCCTCCTCCCATCCGCATTTTGTAGCAGCTGAAATGTTTCTTGGGTTTCTCTGTTATCTCCAAGTTGCTCCTCCGGTGCCAGAGTTGGGAGCCATTACTCCTCCCAAGCCCCTGTGGCATAGGCTGAGTCACATGCTGAAAGTGACCAAGGACCAGATTTCCAAAGTGTGCCAGGGCCAAGCGCCACAGAGGGGCACCTAGTGGGATTTTCAAAAGCAACCGGACACCTTGAATGGTCCCTTAGAATATGCGCTAACGACTTGGGCTAAACCAGTGGTTCTCAACCAGGGGTACGTGTACCCTTGGGGGTACTCAGAGATCTTCCCCGGGGTCCATCAACTCATCTAGATATTTGCCTAGTTTTGCAACAGGCTACATAAAAAGCACTGCCAAAGTCAGTACAAACTAACATTTCATAGACAATGATTTGTTTATACTGTTCGTATGCTAGACACTGAAATGTAAGTACAATATTTATATTCCAATTGATTTATTTTATAACGTTATGATAAAAATGAGGAAGTCAGCAATTTTTCAGGAATAGTGTGCTGTGACACTTGCATTTTTATGTCTGATTTTGTCAGTTTTTAAGTGAGGTGAAACTTGGGGGTACACAAGACACATCAGACTCTAGAAAGGGGTACAGTAGTCTGGAGAGGTTGAGAGCCGCTGTGCTAAACTCTCTGTTCACCCCTGTATTTAGCTGTGACACTCCGAGGACCTTTCCCAGACCTACAGCTCTGTATAGCTCGAAAGCTTGTCTCTCACCAACAGACATTCATCCAATAAGAGATATCACCTCGTCCACTTTGTCTCTCCAGGCGCCAAACTCGTAAACGTTTTTGAAAATCCATTAGGCCCCTTCTGTATCTTTAGGCACCTAAATACACTGAGAAATGTGGCCCCAAGTGTCCCAGGTCTGGTAGAGAAAGTAATATGCCACCAGGGTTCATAAGGCAGTGAAAGGGGATGGGGTCACAGCAGTTCCTTGGAAAAGACAGTGGGCCCAATGCATCGCTGCTGTAAACTTCAGTAATACCAGGGACAAATTTGTCCCAGTGACTGCATTTCTCACTTTTGGACTAATGCATTTCACAGCTTCTTGGAAAAAGCCAGGTGCTCTTTAGGAAATATGATTCTCCACTGTCCTGCACCTTGTGTATTCATCTACATCTGAGTGCAAAATGCTGTCAAATCAGAATCTCTGCTGGGAATATCTTTGTACACCTACTTTGCACAGGTGTAAATAATTACACAAGGTGTGAGGCAGAGAGGATCAAGACCCCATGTTTCCTGAGTGCATCTTTGAGGGACAGGAAATGGACAACATTGAGCAACAACCCAGAGACCCAAAATCGAAAGGCGCATTGTTGCCAGGGTTGGGGTGATGAATGATCACAGCAAAGAAATCTGTCGAAACAAGAGGAAATCTGTCTTGTTTTATTACAAATAAATGTAATAAATTTATGCCTTACAAATAAATGCTTGCAAGTTTTGCACCTATAATCTCCTCTTCGTATTATTCTTTTACCATTGGTATAGGAAATTGTAGCATGCTTACACTCAAGTCCTCTGACAAAAAATGTTACACATGAAAGAACTAAGCCTGAGAGGAAAAAGAAACTCAAATTAATATATATATCAGTGTTTGTCTGTGTTGTGAAAACTGGAATGATCTTGTTTTTATGCTTCTGTATGCACAATAGATATAATCTGCTTGGGTAATGTTGGGCTGTTTGCTTGTTTTGTTACTTCAAGCAACTTCTCTTTTTGTTTCGAGCTTCTGAGCAGCTTCTGAGTAGAACCACACCAGGAGCGCTTCCACCAACTTAGGGAGGCTGAGAGCCTGGGCTCTCAGCTCCGGGCGCAGCCCCCCCACCGGGAGCCCAGCTGACCCCTGGGCTCCCCGCTGGGAGCCCGGTTGCCCCAGGTCTCTCGGCTCCCCGATCCGAGCACGGCTGCCCCTGGGTTCTCAGCAACATGTTCCTCGCTGGGAGCATGGGAGCTGTCTGGTGCAGTCAGGTTCACAGCTAGGAGTGAGGAGCCAGGCAGGCACAGCCCGGATCGGAGGGGGGAACCCAGGCAGCAGCCTGGCTGGGAGTGCGGAGCCGGGACCCTGGTGGGCAGCCAGGCTCTAGCTGGAGCCCCCAACCACCCCAGTCTGACAGCCCAAGCTGTGAGCGGCTTTCTTGTCACATTTACAGATGGAGAAACTGAGGCACGGGGAGGGGAAGTAACTTGCCTGTGGTCACCCAGCAGGCTGGGGGCAGAGCTGATAGTTGATCCCAGGTCTCCTGAACCAATCCATTATTCTGTCCTCCAGGCCACACTGCCTGGCAGGAAGGAATGCTGACTGTTACCACTCGGATCGACTGAGCTTTGGCTGTTTCATCTTTGGCTGGGCTGTGAGGGACGTGCCCTTACGCAGCAAGTCATGCTCTTTAGGAACAGTCCTCAGAGAGAAATTTTGCGGCATACTGACTTCAGTTCATCAGGCTGGAATTGTAGTGACTCGTCAGGCGGAGGAATCTAAAGCCACAGCCAGATGAAAGGGAGATGAACACCAATTCAGGATTAGAAAAGTGGTTTAAATATTGTACCCTCTAATGTACACTGTGTTGCTTTCTTTCTATCCCCCAGTCTCTCCCATTTACTGGCCCTATTCATGGCGGTCTTCATGACGGATTGATGGTTATCATCAGTGGAACTGTTCTTCCTACATGTGACAGGTGTGTGCTTGTAGGGATACGGCTGCTCCCCTCCTGTGCCTAAAATCAACTGTTGAGAATATTGGAACATGACCAGGAAGAGGTTAGGAGGTTAGCTCTAGTGACTCAGAGGAATTTGTCTGTTGGAAAGTTTCCCCCATTCCCAGAAATACTGATCCAGTTCCAATCTGTTGACAGAGTCGTTCAGATGTGGCTTTGAGAGCGTGCAAGATCAGGCCTGACGTTACAATAATTGATACTATAGGAAATGCACCTTTGAGAGATGTGCTATCGCAACAATAAATAGTTCCAATCTTATAATGTGCCAGTCACGCAGTTATCTCAGAAGGAAGGCCAGTTAAAACACTGGAAATAGGCTCAGTAGCGTTGAAACATGCATTGTAAATATTCAAGTTGTTCGTTTGAGCCCTGATCCTACAAATATTTACTACGGGGAATAGTCCTAAACATTATGATTAATTCCAATAACTTCAGTGGGACTAGTCATGGTAAAAAAGTCTCTGCCCAGAAGTAAGCGTTTGGAGAATCATAAGCTTAGTTGGTTTTCAGCAGGATAAAATCAGTTAGCACAGGCTTAGCTACTAAGTCTGAACACTATTTGAGGTTTGTTTTCACAATAGAATAGATTGTGATAATAAATTACTATGTTGCTTTAAAAAGCAACAAAGAGTCCAGTGGCACCTTATAGATTAACAGATTATTGTTGCTTTTTACAGATCCAGACTAACACGGCCACCCCTCTGATATGTTGCTTTAGACTTTCCGTGTAGAAATGTTGCAATGACAGAACAGATATCTTTAAAAGGGAGCAGAGGCTAGTCCTCTATAAAGACTATTTTGGATACAAGTGAAAGCACACTAGATTTCTTAACCATGCTCAGTTTAGTTCATCTTCGTACTTTTTTCCTTCACAGCTTCAAGATAGACTTTCAGTGTGGATCCTGCCCAAGTCCTGATGTTGCTTTTCATTTTAACCCACGATTTGAAGAGGGTGGATGTGTGGTTTGCAATACTTTCGAAAGTCAGAATTGGGGAAGAGAGGAGAGGAAATATGAAATGCCTTTTTTAAAAGGTCACCCCTTTGAGATTCGGGTTTTGGTAAAACACGACTCATTCCAGGTAATTGTTAATGCTGTATTTTACTTGCAAATTCATTATAAAATGGCTATTCTGCTGAATCAAGGAACGTTCTCACATCTGAAGAGTTATATTAAAACAATTCCCTTTTAAAGGGAATCTTTAATGGGAGTCTTTCCGTTTATTTGAATGGGAATGGACTAAAACTCTGCTTACTTTTGCATTTTAGGCCCTGATGCTGCAACACTTGTGCCCATGTTTAATTTTACACATGTGAGAAGCCCCATTGACTTCAATGAGATTGCTCAGATGAGTAAAGTTAAGCATGCACATATGTGTTTACAGGATTGCAGCCTTAATCCATTTAGATAATTCAAAGACTAGTCAGTGTTACGTGAGTTCTTAGTCAGTTTCTAGTGAATTTCACTTTTGGGTTCGCAGGCACTAGCACAGTGCTGCAGTGTTTTGGTTGCAAAAGCTGCAGGGAAATGTTGGTTTATTTTGAATTGATTTTTGTAAAATAGATTTTTGTAAAACTTCATAGAAATATTTCTATTGTTCTTAGGTTTTGTAGTTTTTTTTAAAAAACAAACCTTACATTTTCTTCTCAGCACGAGACATTATCCTTTATTCCAAAAGAATAACTTCTGCTTTTTACACATGGCAGGTTGCTGTAAATGGAAATCCCTTTGTGCAGTACAAGCACCGGATTCCACTTTCCAAAGTGAACCACCTTAGTGTGTCTGGGGGTGTGGACGTGGCAATCATCAGCTTCCAAGATACTGCTGTAAGTGCCGATTGCATGTATTATTGTGTTTCAGAACCACGAGGGGAACTGGAGAAACTCTAGTATTTGCAGAGATTTGGGGCATGATCCAGTAAGAATCTGAGTACGTCCTGTGAGTTGCTGAATATCTCAAACCGGCCTTGTCCCCACTAGTGCTCCTAGTGGTGGAGCTTTACCAGTGTTAGACTGACAATGGGGAAAACGCTAGTGTGGACAGAGTGCAGGTATTTTTTTATTGCCATGTCATGCTCCAAGATGATAAAAAGCCAATGCCTGTCTGTGCTAGTGCTTCCAATTTTGCTGCCACCAATGGAACTGCAACTAAGCTAAACCAACAGTGGAAAAAATGCCAGTGAACTGAGTGAGCTCTGAACTCAGTGTGGGAGGAGGATGTTCTGATCCTTTCAGGAATCATTGAGGTCCTTGCAGGATTGGGCCGTTGGTTCTTAAACCCAATATTTTACTTGTAAAAAAAAAATCCTCTGTTGTATTCCCGTATTTACTGAACTGGAGGCAAGCCTTTCAGGGAAATAGTAATGAGTCTACAGACAGACCACCCTGTGTTATAAACCCATTAAGTATGAAAAGTCAGGGGACTGGATTCCATGCTCGGATTGGAGACCTACAAGGAACTTGTAGGTGCCTACAAAGAACCAGTGGTGTCGCCGATTCTGATTCTCTCTGAGTCAGTACTAGACCAATGCCCCAGAGGCTTAATTGATTCATGTATTTTTAAGGCCAGAAGGGACCATCAGATCATCCAGTTTGACCTTCTGAATATCAGAGGGCCATTAGTTTTTACCCAGGGATCTCTGTATTAAGTACAAAGACTTTAGTTAGACCATAACATTTTAGACCTCTGGAAACTAAAATGTGTGTCATGGGAGAAACCAAACTGCCTGTAGTAAAGTGGTCATTAAGGGGTTAACTGGATTACTCAGAGCAGTGGTTTTCAACCAGGGGTACACGTACTCCCACAGAGATCTTCCAGGGGGTACATCAACTCATCAAATATTTGCCTAGTTTTACAACAGGCTACATAAAAAGCACTAGCAAAGTCAGTAGAAACAAAAATTTCATGCAGACAACGACTTGTTTATCCTGCTCTGTATACTGAAATGTAAGTGCTATATTTATATTCAAATTGATTTATTTTATAATTATATGGTAAAAATAAGAAAGTCGGCAATTTTTCAGTAATAGTGTTCTGTGGCACGTTTGTATTTTTATGTCTGATTTTGTAAGCAAATAGGTTTTAAGTGAGGTGAAACTTGCGGGTACACAAGACAAATCAGACTCCTGAAAGGGGTACAGTAGTCTGGAAAGGTTGAGAATCACTGGCTCAGAGTATTATGGTTTGAGCCATGCTCCACCCTTCCCTCATTTCCTGTTTCATTAGTGTGTGTTTTTCTCTCTCTCTCTCTCTCTCTCACACACACACACACACACACACACACACACACACACACACACTGTATATAGTTGAGTAAAGCAGCAAGTTCCCAGCCTGCAGTACTGTAAACAAAGTGTGTTTGTTGTGCACTTGCACTGAGTGGTCCCTTTACAAAACTGTCACCAATGCCCGAGGCCCTTGCAATGACAGGGAATTATTAGGTGAAATGTGCCTATATGATCTCAGCAGGTGAACTGCACTCTGTGCTGCAGAGGAAGGCAACTTCCCACCCCCCGCCCAGGTCCCAGCCAATCGGATCTGGGGGAAAATTCCTTATCAACCCCAACTCTAGCAATCAATCTGACCTAAGTATGTGAGCAAGAGACAGCAGCCAGGCATTCATAAACGCTATGCTGCTGCAAGAACTGTCTTTCAAATCAGATGTGAAACCTAGGTGCTGATCCCTTCTCTGTGTTAAAGATCCTGGCTCTTCTTGCAAAAGTTAGGGGTGTGAACCCTCCTTTCCTGTCCAGATTCCAATGTAGGTAAATTAATTCTTCCTGCGGGAATTCTCTCTGTACTTTCAGTTGGACACAATATACTTTCTAGGTATCCTCTGCCGTTTTACAGTGTGGCGGTGCTCAGATAAACTGCAGCCATCGGTGTGCTGGTAATTGAATGCTGGGTGAAGTAATCTGAGGATTGTGTTGTGAAGCTTAATTAGTTAATGTTCCGAAAGTACTGTGAGATCCATGGATCTGTGCAATTCCCTCGAGAAGTATGCAGTGTTATGTGTAATATCAGTTTCTTGTGGAGATGTACTTACAACTAAGGGTATCTCTGGGAGAATTGTCCAGATTATTTGATTTGTATAACATCTGAGGTGTTTCCTGGGGTGGGGGTGGGGCTGGGGGGGAAATATAAATGACTTAGGAGAATAAAAAGAACCCTCTAGATTCTAGTAATTAAGAAACCCACTTTTATAATAAGATTTTCCATGCACAGAGCAAAATATAACCGTGCACAATGACATAAATATTTCATAATCTAGTATATGACATATATTTAATCCTTCACAAAGATATCTGGAATAGTTAGTATTGAATATACTGCGATTGTCTTATTGAATCAAATTTTACAGGTGCATTTGAGCATTCTTAATTTGTAACCTAACTGAAAAACTAAAGCCCCTCATTGTCTTCCCATATTATGATTCCTGTTTCTTTGCAATAATCCTACTGTTGTGTATAGATTTCCCCCCACTGATGTTTGAGCAAAAGGGAAGGGGCAGAGTCTTCTCACTGCTTTATCTGGTGAATTAGACATTGGGCTGAATTAAGTACCACAATAACCGGGTGTAATTCCGAGGAACTTTAATGGATGCTAAATTTTCCATACTCACTCTGAGTCAGGGTGGCAGAACCTGGCCCTTTGACATTTGCCCAAGCTTGCGTATCAAGCTCGTGGAAGAGTGTGTACCCAGGTCTCCTGACTCCCAGATGGGTGCTGGAATCACTAGACCACATTGCTTCTGTCAACTGATTTTGCCATTGGACTAATTTTTTCTTTTTCATAACTTTTAGCCCCCAGGTGCTTGGTGTCCTACGGCAGCTGGGATCGTAAGTGTTTAATCTAACTTCCTTTTTGCACTTTGTTCCTTTTGTTGGCTTGTATCAACCAAAGTTGGAAAACAGAGCAAATCTGACAAGCTATATTTATTTCTTCACCCCACAAAAAATCTGAAGCAAGAATTGTTCAGTAGCCACAGGATTCTGAGTAATTTTATCAGAAAGAAACATATTATCAGAGCATGCAAAGACAATAATGGCAGTATGCCAAAGGAGAGAAAAAATATCACTGTCTGGGCTTTCTTCATGACTTTTTCAGGGTTAATTTGTACATTCACAAAGATACATTTGTTTTCTGTGTTGCTAGTGCCTCCTAGTGGCTATTCTTTTATTTGTTAAGTACCAAGATTGTCTTTTGCTTTTCAGACCAATGCAGCTTTCCCACCTACACAGTTTGCTCCTGGATCAACATATAGTGTGAGTTCAAGTGATGCTGAATCCATTTGTATTAAATGAAGGGAAAATTTTCTGCTTGATTCAGTGGGCTAAATAGAGTTCTCTTTTACACCATGTAAGAAGAAAATAATTCAATTTGCTTGAATAGCGTTAGTCTGGATTTTATTACATCAGTGTAACTGAAAGCAGAACATGGCCCAGCCCAATATTCCAGGTCTGCTAAGGCAAGCTTAGGAAGAACTAGAACAGCCAACTTTTGTACCCTTCTCATTCATGTGTGCGCGATATTAAGACTCCAGACTGGTG